ACTGCAGTTCAGCTTCTGGGATAGCTACTTGTTGCCAGAGTAGATTAGTCTGTTTACATATCCAGTCCAGTTACAGTTCAGGGTGTATGGAGAAATCTTTGGGCCAAACTTCAGACAAGCACAGAAGCAGCCTTAGGCCAAACTTAATTCAGTTTAATATAATTCATTTTCATAATTGTTTGTTGTACCTTTTAATATAGTCTTGAAAGCTATTGAACTGAATTCTTCCAAAAGTAAAATTTTCTTGAACTGCTTAAACATCCAGTGAGGCAGAAGCCTGAATAAGTTTTGTCAAGTACTCTTGCTCTAGGGTTTAAGGATTCTTTTTTGTTTGTTTTTTGAGTAGCAGTCTCACTTTTGTCACCCAGGCTGGAGGGCAGTGGCACGCTCCTGGCCACTGCAGCCTCGACCTGCTGGGCTCTGGTAATCCTTCCACCTCAGCCTTCCAAGTAGCCGAAACTGCAGGTGAGTGCTACCACGCCCAGCTAGGATTTAAGGATTCTAATGCTAAAGGTGACAGGGCTTTTTTTTTTTGTAATTAATTTTTTAAAATAACAACTCCGTTTCCTACACCCTCAGTTTCCAGTTATCAAAAAAAATTTGTGAAGCTCTTCCACTTACAGGATCAATAGGCAAAAGATCAAATATCTTGGACACCATTTCTCAACCACCCAACTGACTTGAATTACACGAAAAACAGGTTACTGTTTCCTTTTTGAAAGGGTCATAATTATCCCTAAACACAAGGCTGGGTCACCTCTCAACACCTGTAATGGCCTCTCTTATAGCGCAAAGGAAACCTTTAGCATGCTATTCAATATTTCTTGCAACTTGGTCCCCACATATATTCACACATCCTTCCAGGCACTCTACCAGCCACTCAGGGCTCCCATCTATTGCTTGAACTGCTCACCTCAGCCTTTTTCATCTCTGTGGTTTTGCTGATATGAAATGCTCTCCTCACCTATTTGTCATCACAAATCCATCTCATCCCAGACACCATTACCTTCTCCTTGAGCCTTTCCCAATTGCCCTGTCAGAATTTCTTCCTCCTCTTGGCTCCCACACATGACTTCTGCTTCTGTTACCATGTGTACGTCACACTACCAAGTTCTTTTTTCCTTGGCTTAGCACACTTTCACAGTCGTCTTGTACAGAGGGTGAAGGACTGAACTAAACAGGAGGTACCAGCTGCTGCCGTCATACCTTAACACTCCTCTTCATGTGTTCCCTTTGAGTCCTCCAGGCCTCTAGCAGCAGGACCACCATGCCTAGAAATCCAGAACCAGAAGAAAGCTCAAGGCGTGGCCTAAACTTGGTCCAGAGCCCCTGTAAGGCACTCTTAAGGCAAAAGATGTCTAGTATATTCTGGCATTAGAAACACTATCAACTTTTTTTCACTTCTCTTCCCTGGACCTATTTCCTTTACACAAAAACAAAAAACCAAAAAAACTTTTAATATATTTGATTAAAAAATACACAATTATCTTCAAAGAGATTCATATTTTATAGGAGCCAAGCATGAAAGTCCTGTTTTACAACTGTTCCTCCCTCTTTCTCTTTCCCAAAATGACTGGGGATTGTTTAATGTGAAGTTTCTATACATCTACATGCATGCATTTACACAAATATTTTCGACATAAATGAAAATGAAAATATATTGTTCCAAAATTGTTTTTCTCATCTAATACACTGACTAAACAGGAGGCTGAACAATTTTCTGGAATGCTTATTGGCCATTTCTTTTTCCAAGAACTATTTGTTCATGACCTTTGCCTATTTTTTTTTTTTTTTTGAGTTGGAGTCTCACTCCTTCACCTGGGCTGGAGTGCAGTGGCACGCAAGCTCATGGTCACCCCAGCGTTGACCTGCTAGGCTCAGGTGATTCTTCCACCTCAGCCTTCTGAGTAGCCGGAACTACAGATGTGTGCTACCACACCCAGCTATTTTTTATTTTATTGTAGAGATGAGGTCTCATCAAGTTGCCCCGGCTGGTCTTGAATCCGCAGGCTCAGGCAATCCACTCGCCTCGGCCTCCCAAAGTGCTGGAATTACAGGCTGAGCCACTGAGCCTGGCCAGAACTATTTGTTCATAACCTTTGCCTTTGTTTTTTTTTTGAGTAGCAGTTTCACTTTTGTCACCCAGGCTGGAGGGCAGTGGCACACTACTGGCCACCGCAGCCTCAACCTACTGGGCTCAGGCAATCCTTTCACCTCAGCCTTCCAAGTAGCTGGAACTACAGGTACGCACCACAATGCCCAACTAATTTTTTGATATATTGTAGAGATGAAGTCTTACCAAGTTGCCCAGGCTGGTTTTGAATCCCCGGGCGGAGGCAATCCTCTTGCCTCAGCCTCCCAAAGTGCTGGGATTACAGGTTTGAGTCATTGCTCCCGACCTTCCTATCTTTTCTACTGAGCTGTTATCTTATTGATTCGTACTTACATATTGTGGACACTCATCTTTTGTTGCATATGTTGTATAGACCTAGTTTCCATTGTATTAATTTACCATTTCCTAATATTAATTTTGGCCAAGCCATTTCATCCAAGCTTCAGTGTCCTTACCTAGACAATAAGGATGATACTTTCAGCATAAGACTGTGGAAGAATTGATTTATTTAACTGCATGATGCTTGGCACTCAGTAAGTACTCTATAACGTTAGCTGCTCTTTCCTACAGAGACTTGGGGTTACAAGTTGGCTAAAGGTTTAGTTTGGCCCCTAGGATTTAAAAATAATACATTTGAACCCGTTAGGTGAAACATACATTTTCTAGTTGGCCATACCTTTCCCTGCCTGCCTCCCCAGTGTTTTCTACACCACAGCTTCTAAGATTTGTTACTAGTCCTCCATTCGCTGAAGGTTTTTTTTTTTTTTTTTTTTGAGAGACATGGTCTTGCTCTGTTGTCCAGGTGGAGTGCAGTGGCACAATTATACGATGATAGCTCACTGTAACTTCAAACTCCTCGGCTCAGGTGATCCTCCTGCCTCAGCCTCCCAGAACACTAAGAATACAGGTGGGATCACTGTGCCCAGTCCCACTCTCCAAAGTTTTTAATGGATAAAAATAAAAATAAAGCAGACTTTGAAATTATACATTGCCCATTATCAGGGCTGTGTGTGCCCATTATGCATTGCATAACTCCTAGATGTTGTTCTCAGTGTAGCAGTGAAGTCCCTTGGGGTTAAGCAATGTACAAACTGCACATGGCAGTGTGACTTTTTTCTTTTCTTTTTTTTGCAGACAAAACCTTTTATTTTAAACCATAAGTAGTCAGCAGGTGGCCACAACTATCCATGTTCCATTAAATCACATAAACCTAGGTACAAAAGCACCACTGATTATTGCTCTAGAAAAACTGCATGAAAAATTCAAACATGCACAGTAAAAACACCACGGTGAGGACAGGACTAAAATTTTAAACCAGGTGTATGGAATGCTGGATCAAGTTTATACACAGCTTCCAGTATTAAATTGGTATTTATTTTACTTGAGGATGATGGAAATTTCCAAAAAGCCCGACTATGAGAAGGTAAAATGTCCATCCTTATATATTTTTGTATGCCAACTAGCAGAGTCCTAAAAAAATTAGCATTTACAAAATACTTGATAAAAATAGCTTTTAAAAGTTATCCCAAGAGATACATAAAATCAACCCCAATTTTTCATGACAGTTCATTCTCCCACAGTATCTACAGATTCAGTTTTCTGTACCTCTCCAGCTGGTTTCACCATTTTCAGATGGTGCAGTACCTTCCTTTCCAGCTTCCAGTTTTTCCTCCTCCTTCCCTTTAGCACCTTGTTTAATCTTTGCTTCGGGTTCTTTCTTAGCAGATGTTTTTCATGGTTTAGGTTCAGGTTTTGGTGGGGCAGGTTTCACCAACAATCTGGCAGATCTTGTGGGCTCCTGTTTAGTTACTTCCTTGCTAGGATGCAGAGTGTACCAAGGGATCAAAATTGGAGCAGACAGAAGTACCCATCTTTGCCCTCTGGATTCTCTGGCGACTTTCTCTTCAGCATAATGACTGAGTCGGTGCCATGAGCAGTCACCCACTGGCTGGAACTGCAGGCCCTGCCGCCCCCGCCCACACGCGGGCACCAGTGTGACTTTTTATTAAGACTAGTCAGTGTAATAGTGAGAAGGGGGGAAAAAGCAGAACAAGGAGTTTCATCTGTAACTGACAGAGATGACTCACTATCTTCAGACCAGCCATGGCCCATATTTTAAGAGGCATACGGGTAATCTCACAGCAATTTTCAAAGCTCACAAGAGGTATCCCTTGTTCTTACAGCATCCACTGATAGGATCAAGTTGGGCTAGTTTATAGATGGGGTGAGGCACAGAGCTAGTAAGCCAGAAGTGGGGCCCAAAGTTCTCAACACTCAGACTGGGGCTGTGAAAGAGCAAGTCATCATGTCTCTGCTCGGTACTCTGTCAAAGGCAAGTTGAGGACTTCTGGATTTCTAGATGCCTCCCAGAGATCATCAGGGCAAAGCCCTAATAGAAATTACTACTTCTATAACAAAACCACAGATAGGATTAGGCTGGATAATAACTCATTACATGTATGTAAAACTACATGTTAAATGTCTCAAAAGTATGCTTATGGCCTCAAAACATTTATTAGCAAATCCTCTTAAGGATGATCAGAGAGTATTATACCTATTTTGGGGCTCATTATACACTGGATTTGGAGGACACCGCTTGTATGCCCCTTCAAACAATAAAAGGTAGTCTTATCTACTAGCCTAAAGGAATTTTGGGGAAGTGCCAGTCTGAAATGATGTCTATAAAATTCAGGAAGAATGGAACAGCTACTCAGCTGTCAGTTATAGCTTCAAGATACTGGCTACACACACACACACACACACACACACACACACACACACACACTTTCTAATGCACAAACTAGTGGAAAGTTTTTAAATAAACATATCACTGGAAACTGAATATGCAAAAACAAGGAGCAAAACAAACCTGAGTCTGACCACCAGGTTAATAGCTGAGGTCTTTATTTCAATTTGTATATACAGTAAAAGTGCTGCTGAGAATCTGCAGCAACCAGACAGAACATAAATTTAATTCTCTCTCAACAATTAGCAGCTTAAGATCTATCAACTACAGTGTTAACGTTCACACGTTCACAAGTGTCATTTCTTTACTTTTCAATTCGTGCAAGTGAGTTTTTATTCTTACACACTTTGATAAAACACACTTACAGTCTAGTAGTCAATCCCTACTGAGGGTATCACCTAGCATACACAACACACAGACAGAAATGTTAACTCTTAGAGCCACATCCAAAATCCCAGGTTTCATTTGGGGGGGGGGGTGTGGGAAACATACTTTTGCTTGTGCCAGCTTGTTCATCATAATAATGTTTGGTTTTGTTTTAGATGCATATTTTCCAAAGCTAAAAGGCAGCTCCTCATTGGAACTCACTCGGAACTCTGCGTTTCATCTGACTGTACCTCAAAGGAATTTGAAATCGGAAACAAAACCAAATGCAATGAAGACCACACAAAAATATGCTCATTAATAGGACATGGCTAACCAGGAAGGCTTGATCCCAGTGTTTTTCTTGGCTTCAGATTTTTACTCCAGTTGGGACAAGGGAGGGAAGACCCCTGTCAGTGAAGTATAAAATTTAACCTATTTTTGCTTAAAGAGCCAGCAGAAAGCCTTCCTTGCTAGGATGCAGAGTGTACCAAGGGATCAAAATTGGAGCAGACAGAAGTACCCATTAATGATCATAAATGTTGTAAAAGATGATGGTCTTTCTAGAGCCTGAACAGAGTCACCCAGGACAACACAGCCAGCCTCACTCATCCAGGCTAGGCACTAGCACAGACAAATCCGGGAATGCATCATTTCAAAGGGAATGTACATAGTCTTTTTTTTTTTAAAGAGAGCATTCAAATGAGGGTCAGTCTCCACCCAGAACAATTGTTAAGTCATTAGAGCGAGGTTATAGAAGAGCTTTGAACAGGGGAGAACCTGAAAACAACCATAATTCAAAGAAACTCAAAAGCAACAGGGATGGGCAACAAAAAGCATAGGAAAGCATGAAAGCAGATGTATGGTTACAAACAGCATTAAATGCACACAACTGTTGGGCCTGGTGAGTACTCAAGGGACAAAGCTAGAAAGCTGTTGTGCCTGACTGGACTGAAGGTCCTTTCTAAGACAGTTTGAGAAAGGAAGATGGAAAGTCAGTGTGGGCCTGTTTGGCTGGAGCTCAGGGGGCTTTCCAGAGGTGAACACCTTCCTTTGATAGAAACTGTCCTAAGGCAAATGGGAACACTTGCAATCGATCTATCAGAGTGACCTCCAGTGCCCACAAAACTTATTAGCCTGTAGTTTAAGGGACTCAAATGTTCTAGCTTAGAAAAACGGGTGGACTACTACTAGAGCATCTTTTCAACAACTTTGTGGGGCTCTCTTCTCTACTCTGAGCAATTAAGCTAAAGCAGAAACTGCTAGTTTGACAAGGTCATAGTGTCCTTTGGCACTCTTGCCTAAAGTCACTGCAATATTTTTAGGCAAAGTTAACATTTTAAGTATATAGGCTTGGGGAAAATTTGGTTTTGGCATGGACATGAAATGGTTCTAATTATTTTTTAAAAGCGAAATCACCCCATGTGGCCCTGCTCTGGGTGCTAGTTTTGAGGGGGCAACAGAGCCAGCAGGTACACTACAATCAACTGGGAATGGGGTGAAGATCGGGGTACCTGAGTTAACATATCAAAGTAGTTATGGAAACATGCTGGCTCCGAGAAGGCCAGCTTGCCAAAGCAAAAGAAGGATGGAATTGTTCTTTCAGACAGGCAGGGCAATACTAATCTGCTACTACTGAAAGAATTTTCTGGTATGGGGGAAACAGGCAAAGCATGCTTTGCTGTTCTTTTCGGGGCATATTATGTGCTCCCTGCTCATCACCTGGTTGCGCAGAAGGAGGCCAAGAGGGAACAGTGTTTGTGACCCAATACTATGAGTAATATGAAAAGCTAACCAAGCTCTCTTAGATAAGCTTTAAAAGTTCAAGTTCCACCAGGATGATGGAACTGGTTATAGGATGGGGAAGAAGGCTCAGTTGATCTTTCTAAACTGTCTACAAAAGTTCACTGAGCATCGTTAGGTTAATACGTCAGTTTAGATTAATAGGAAGCTGACAACATTTTACACTCAAGACTTGGGTCCTTCTAAGCCTGACATTTTCTTTTCTGCTCTTTAGAAGAATCACCTGCAACTGATTCTCCCAGGCAGACAAAATAAAGCTTTGAAATTAAGGATGTTGGGGCCAAAATGCAGACAGAAGACTCCACATCACTTTGGTTTCAGTAATTAGGGGATGTTAAAAATAAATTAAGGAAACATAAGGAATTATTTATGACTCTCATAACATAGTCTCAATGGTCACTTGATAAACCTTTACTTGGGGCAAAAAAATCCCTATCCTACCATGCTGGTTTGTGGAAAAAGCCTCCCCATCTGCCTGCACACCCCTTTCCTCTCCAACCAAGCCAAGCCCATACAGTGGTGGTATGCAGGTGGCAGGACACCAAAAAGCAGTGGCAGCAGCCAGAGGAGGGAATTTAAGCTGCATCTCAAAACAAGAGCAGCAGAGGGCAGCATTTACAGCAAGTCTTTCTTACTCAAACTGTTTCAAGACAAGAGGGAGCAGCACACTTAAATGTCCACGCATTTCTTCATTTAAAAACATCACTTCTTTATTTCAAAGGAAAAATAAAAGACCCTCCCAACCCTTTCCAAAAAAACCCAATAATAATAATAACAATAATAAAAAATCCTATTAGAAACCATAAGGAAGCACTGAGAGTTTGAGTATTACATTCTTCAAGTATGCTGTTCAGATTTTTTAAGGTGGTAACTATACACATATTAAAAAAAAACCTTAAAAGTGCGGCCAAGGGATTTTACGTAAAATTAAGTATTTAGAGGGCAACTTCAAAATACTGTAGTAGGACTGTGCAGTGATCCTTTGGGGAAAGATGCTCTCACTTTTGTATCCTAGCGAAGATTAAGGAAACAGGTTCAAAAGTGATCACACTTCCAGGGTTGGCGTGAGTGGCCAACTTGAGTGAGAAAGCCAGGGAGATCCATGTGTTCTTCCATGGACAAGGAAAATCCACCCTGAATCCAAAAATTCAGACATGGAATGTGGTAGGATTTCACAGTAAAGTTAGTCTGGGATGGGGAGAGGTGGTGAGCCCAGACAAGGTAGGGAGTTAGGTTTAACTGGTTTGCCCTAATCAGGTTTTCGCATCCTTTTAGTGGATTTTAATGCAGTCCTTCAAGCCACAATTTAGAATGCCCTTCAGTGTGCTCCAGATTGTTGGTTCATGTTAAAGGACTGTTTAAGATTTGCATCCCAAGGAAAATCATGCTACATAAAAATGATCCAAGATTTTTGCCCAAAAAACTTCTTGGATAAAATCTAAAAAATACTATTGCAATTGTGTCTCTTGAAGAAAAAAACATTATTCTAAATGTAAACAGATTCACTCAACTCTTTTGTTGTTGTAGAAAACTTCAGAGTAGGTAAGTTGCTGTCTAACTTTCTGTTGCATGCACTCGCCAGAGGGTAGGGAGCACTGCCTTCTTGTGCCAGCATCATCTAGGGGATGAAAAGAACCGTTCCACATAGCTGAAGAGGGCGTCCCAGTGCTTCCAGAGAAAGGCAATGAAAACCACAAGGAATAAAGTGCTGAACGTCCTGTTGCGAGTCTTCATGAGGGGGACCACACAGTTGGCTACCGTGGAGACAAAGACCAAAAGGACCGCCATAACAGCCAGGAGGATGTTGATGAGTTTGCCCAGAAGGTTCCGGGCAGTGGCATTCTCCAGACCTTCTAGCTGCACCACCTGCTGCTGCTGCTGCTGCAGCTCCATCTTGGAGATGCGGGTCTGGCATGCCTCCAGGGCCTCCTGTGGGCCAGAACAGGGAATAGTTAAGCCTTCTGCTCATAAATCTCTGAGTTGCTAACATACCCCGTGGGCAAGCCAGATGCATCTTGAGCTATGCCAGTGATTTTAAATATGCTGGAGTCTCGAATATAAAAGGCTAGATGCATAGCTCACTAGTCAGATGTCTATTATTCTCCTTTTAGCCCTCCATTCCATTCCTGCAGATACCTCACAGGAAGCAATGGCCACGCCTAGATTTATTTGGTCTAGAACATTTTAATGATAAGACTACAAATACATGACTTTTCGTGTGTGTGTGTTGGAGTCTCACTCTGTCGCCCAGGCTGGAGTGCAGTGGGACACTCACAGCCATCCTGGCGCTGACCTGTGGACTCTGGTGATCCTTCTGCCTCAGCCTTCCAAGTAGCCAGAATTACAGGTGTGCATTACCATGCCTGGCTGATTTTTAAAAAATTTATCGTAGAGATGAGGTCTCACCAGTTTGCCTGGGCTGATCTTGAACCCGTGGGCTCAGGCAATCCACTCGCCTCGGCCTCCCAAAGTACTACGATTACAGGCTGAGCTACTGAACCCAGCTGATGTTTTTTTTTTCAAATTTAAAAATTATCAATCTAAGTTGCACAGTACATACATACTTGTTCAACATAAAAAATTTCTAATAGAATACAGTCTCCTCTGACATTTCTCTCAGTTCCAATCTCTGCCCCTGAGGTAATGCTGTCAGTTTGGTATGTGTTTACCCTTTAACCTGTGGTTAAGTGTATACATATGTGCGCCAAGGGAAACATCTGGAATTATTATTTCTTAACATGAATAGTATCATACTATTGGAAATGATCTACAACTTGCTTTTTTATTTTATTAAAAAAATTTTTTTTTAAAAATTTGAGATGAGAACTCACTATGTTTCCTAGGCTGGTCTCAACTCCTGGGCTCAAGCAATTCTCCTGCCTCAGCCTCTCAAAGTACTAAAATTACAGTTGTGAGCCACCATGCCAGACTACTTTTTTTTTTTCAACCTAACAGTGGATCTTAGTGATCTCTCCATGTCAGTACACAAAGATCCACCTCATTCTTAACTGCTGCATAACATTTTATTTATTTTTTATTTATTTTTGAGTTGGAGTCTCACTCTGTCGCCCAGACTAGAGTGCAGTGGCTGCTCCCGGCCACTGCAGCCTTGACCTGCTGGGGATCCGGCGATCCTTCCGCCTCAGCCTTCCAAGTAGCAGGAACTACAGGCACGCGCTACCACGCCCGGCTAATTTTTGATTTATTGTAGAGATGAGGTCTCACCAAGTTGCCCAGGCGGGTCTTGAACCCGCGGGCTCAGGCAATCCACTCACCTCAGCCTCGCAAGGCACGGGATTACAGGCTGAGCCTCCGAGACTGGTAACATTTTATAGTTATAGACTATGTCATAGTTTGTGCAGTCAGTTCCCTCTTGGGGATTTTTAGGTTGTTTCCAATTTTTCCACTGTAACAATGATGCAGTGAACATCCTTTGAACATGCTTCCCTATATATACTACCTGGTGCTTTGTAAGTCAAGTCAATCCCTGACATTAGTGGAAAGGGATCTCTGACTCTACTTTTTTTTTTTTGAGTTGGAGTCTCACTCTGTCGCCCAGACTGGAGTG